GTAAACAGGAAATACATTTCTTTCACTTTTAATGGAATCATTAAATTATCCATATAAGTAATGAGAAAACCACTAATAGTCGTGCAGCTTGCACAAGAACTTACAACTTTTTAATTAAAATACTTAGCTATTTATAAGATCCTATGTCATCAAAAATGACTCATAGTATTCGATCATACCGATTGTTGCCTGATCATATCTATAATTTATTGCAAAATTATAAATATAATCGGTCAAAAATTACGTCTCATTAATGATGTTCACCATTCTTATAGTAATATTGGTTAAAACGTCTCCTTGCAGCTCGTAATAGCTGAAGTGAGTTAGTTGATAGAACTCTTCGTCTTTGATAACAAAGACTCAAGTACGTTGTATGTTTTTAGTCGTCTTGAAGTCTACAATATTCTATGTTATGCCTTAAAAGTATGGAAGAAAACTAACCAGTTTAACATACTGCATCGTGCTGCATTAAACAAGCTCTAGCTGGACAGTAAAATTCCTTTCTAGGCATCATATCGACGATCAAATAAAACGTGACCCAATTTGTGAATGCTTGGTTAATTGACAATTGACCGTAAGAACCATCTTTGACTTCAATTAATTTAATCATGCGCATTCATAATACTGTAAACAAATTCATTGGGCTTTGTAGCATAAATATAAATACGCCAGTAACATAAGTCAAGGGAATTGATTCTAAAATAAGAAACGACAGTATCATCGTCATAACTAAGATCTCTTAGGAAGGATCTGAAAGATTTAATACTGTATTATATTTGTCTCTGGGGATAATTCAAGTAGACAATGCATTTGAAACATTTCGATAAAGTTACTTTATCACTTTCGTGCACGTGTGCGATAACATTTCCTAAATTTCTCATACTACGATTGCGTTACACAGAATAATTAGCACTATTTGTTAGTAAAGTATTTACATGAATGTATAATAAATGTTATGATGCGGTTAAAGTATTTACTATTGGAAAACGTACAATTTATTATTTACGCTTTTGTTGAATCGTAAATTACACTATTAAAAAAACTTAAAATTTCTAGGTGCATTTACTAGTTAGCGAAAATAATAATATACATATAAATGTATGTTTATTTGAAATTGTTTTGAGAACGTCTACATTCTATTTATGTATTTAATGAAAGTCACTGATAGCTGAGATTAGTGCGGCATATTTTCTATTATCTTTAAAATTTATACCACGAAAACTGCAGATTTTAGTTACAAATCAAATTATACCAACATTCGAATCACAATTTCGGATTATTCCAGTTGACCTACTAAATTCGCTATTTATATACAATGGCCGGTAAATATGCAAAGGTATTATAAATATTTAGAGGTAAATTGTAAATGTAATATTAGTAGACCGCGAAATGTTTTGCAACAAGTCTATCGCATTTTTATACAACTCAATAAAGAAGCTGACATTGAGATTAGCGAAAGTTGCTGTATATTATACACCTTCATTTCTAAGCGATACCGATTCGTCTTATTGCTTGAAATGTTATACAACTGATGCAAAATACACGGAACTAAAATCACCGTTCTTCTGGATTGCATTGAAATGTTTTCTCAAACGAAATCGTACCTTGTAAGGAAGGATATGGCGTTGCGTAATGCTTTATTAATCCATAAACATGTTTGTATTATTCCCAGCTTGACTTTAACTCTGATTTAGCAATTAATAGATGTACGCTTCACCTAGATTAGAAATGTTGCCATATCTACCATTTTTCCCTGTACTAAATAATTAGTGTATGTTTGGCAACCCCGACGTAAAGCAATTCATGTGCGTTGGGCTTAACGTGCTTGCCATGTGCGTCGGGCCGATTTCTGACGCATTCAAGCTAAACGCACGTTAATATTGTTGACATATGATACAGTTTTTACAATATTCATTGAAAGTGTACACATATAAATTTAGAAAGGAATGGCTATATTTCTTTCCTAATCGGGAGTTTCTTGTGTTCCTGGTGTTACTTGTTTTGATTTTTATAGACGATAATACTTCATCAGACTTTTGTAGACGATCAAAATTTAAATAAAAAATGAGTATTACAAGGTACCAATACCTTCACTGAACTGCATTCATGTGACCAGGCCTTAACATTTAACGGTCTGAATAATAAACATACCTTAAACTGTTTTATTCAATTCAGAGACGTATTGCGTAATCTGGTACAACTTTTTCAATTTTATTTATTCATGCTAAATTTGCAGTGAGATTTTTTTTTGTAAATCACAACCTTCAAGAAATAAATCGTATTGAGTTTGAGAGTAACGATAATAGCTTTATGTGCAAAAATAAGCACATACATTATGTCTGTTTTCTATTAAATTATTTCAGATTTATGCAGCGAATTTATTATTTGTAACATATTACACCTGAAATGATTGTTTTCATAATGCATAACGTATAGCATAAAGTCGACAATATTAATTAAATTATTCAGATTTAGATGTACATGTATTTCTCCCAACAAATTGAAAATATACAAGGACTTTTTTAAAATAAGATCAAAACCGATTCAATACAGCGACTTAAGCTAATAATATTTGATGATGATATTTAATAAAGCATACTTGGCATTAGATTTAACTTTATACTTTTTTCCAAATGGAAAACTATGCACACTTCGATTGTCCTTTCCTGCCTTTAAAATAGTCGTCGTTTGCTTTTAATTTAATAAAAGACGACTCATTACTGCGCTGCTAGAATTCAGTTAAGCTTCTGTTTTATTTCACTCCATGGAAGGTCATTTTAATTATTCCAAGAAATATATTTACTTACTCGAGCAAGCAGTAAGTTTCCATCAGTATTATATTAGGAACAGTGAACCGTGAAAAAATAGATTAGCACAATTTTTTTTAGTGCCTGTTGAAGTCTGAATAAATTAAGTTGAAACTATCGCGAGGTTTTCTGTATACCAAATCCTTCGCTCATTTTATTGTCTGCAGTATATAGTATTCTTAACAAACTATTTGACTATACTTAAAATAAATAGTCAAGTAATGAAATTTATTCGATTTACCTTTCTTAGATGTCTGCAAGCATTTAACTGATAAGTTCCATCTTTGAAAACGACCAATCTAGTTAGTAACTGTGTTAAATTCAACAAACTTCGGTATTTTATAGTTATTTATTGTATAAAATATGTTTTAAGTAGCATTTTATCCACGCAATAAGCGTGGCAATTAAAACACGAATGCAATACAACCTTTTATCCATAATCATATCACACTCATATTTGTGGAGTCAGAATTATTGGAATTTAATAAAAAAATATTCGCATGAATTGATATTTCTTACTGGTACTCAATGAAACGTGGTAGGTTTTGTGATACCTAATGGTTGCTATGGTACGTAGTTTATTATCAATTATTTAATAAACAGTTCTATTTGATTTTGGTAAAAATGCAAGAAAGTAATTAATTGTGTTCCTGTGGCTGTTTTTGAAGAAGCTCAAGAAGCAATTTTCCATTTATTGCCAGCGAAATCCAGGGAACATTGCGAAAAAGTGTTCGCCGAATTTAACGAATGGAGGAGAAAACGGAGAGTAATGACAATAAATGAAGAAGTCATTCTATCGTATTTTTTAAATTGGAAGAAAAAATATGCAATTTCATTTATGTGGTCGAAGTATTCGATGTTGAAGGCTACTATAAAGGTCTACGAAAATATAGACATTGGAAAATATAACAAGCTTGCTGCTTATTTGAAGAGTGAATCGAGAGGATACAAAGCAAAGGAAGCTGCAGTATTAGAAAGATTGATTAATTTTTGACTATAGCTGTTCCTTACAAGAACAGACATCCGTAACTTGTGCAAATTCTTCACAAACTTCGGCAGATGTTATGCGTTCCGAAAATGCTGGCAACAATGCTACAAGGGTTGTTATTAACGGAAAGGAAGTTAAATGTGATAAAACAAAAAATGAAATGTCTATTACTATAAATAAAATGTTAATGTTAATAAGTAAATAAATTAACTTTTGATTTATTTATTATTTATAGGTTTTTATTTTTTCATTATTCTGCTAGTGATATAAAGTTAGAAAATGCGATTGCCGTTCTCATTCTACCTGTCCACTAGAGAATAGCTGTTGAGCATGGAATAACGTCTGGTGTTCCGCAGGGATGCAATTTAGGCTCTCTACTTAATGTTTGTTGATGATATCATTACTGAATTAACTGTCGACTTATTCTATTTGCAAAAAAATTAAAAACGAATAGTATGGACTAATACTAATTAATATGATCATGTTAATTATAATAATTTAGTCTCGAGGGTTTGTTGATATGGTAGTATATTTCTAAACTATCAGTTTTAACTGTTTTCTTCGATTTACCACTTTTTATTTTTAGATATGTTTACTTGTTGTATTTTTGTCACCCTAAGGAGATTCGTTTTACTTTAATCATGGTGTCAGACAAACAACAATTGCCCAATTAATGTTAATTAATATGCTTCGTTCAATGTTGAATATTTTAAAGGAGATAGCCGCTGCTTCAAAGTGTTATTATTCAATAGTCAGATAAGAAATGGGGTTTCTGGCTAGCCAAGGCAAAAAAGTAATCTATACCAGTGGATTTTTTTTTGCTATCGAATCGTTAAAGCACCTGACCAGAACCTGGACGACTAAGAAGCGACCAAGTCGGTCAAGTTCCTTCCACACCTTTCGTCCATTCACGCAACTAATCTCATGCGCGACTGGCATTGGTATATCATCTGACCGACAGCTGCCTCTCGCATGAAAAAAAAAAACCGGCGACTCGCGAAATATCAACGTCGAATAGATCGATTATTTATGCTGTCGTTCAACCCATTCTTCTGGGGAACGGACGAAGGCCCCATAATTGACTTGACCTACCACGGCGTCACCGTCATGTCCGTCTAGTTACCCACGGCTCACGGTGGCTCGAATCAAGGCGGCCGAGCAAAAGCCACAGCCAACTCCAAGACGATTTAGTCGAAAAGTGAATCTTATTCGCGGAGGTTGGGAACGAGTTGTCGAGACAGTTGCTTTCGCGAGAGCTTAGGCGAAGCACAGCGCTCTTAGATACGCGGTTTATGCAACAGCGGCAATCAAGGTGGCTAGATTGAATTCACTTTCACTCGGCAGTTATGTCGGACGTTGCATAACGCCACACACACACGCTCGCAGGAACAATACATCTGTGCAAGAATACGGCGACTTGTATCTTCGGCCGTTATTTCGAGGAATGTGCTGAGCATCGAGCTAGTGGCGGTCTGTTTTGTGTTCTCGCAGTGTTATTGTGTTTTATTATTGCCGCCGTATCTTGTTTGTTAAATCACCGTATTGTCTGAAGGTAATTAGCTCTTTATATTTAATGTTTTATTTGGATTAGACCGTTGCGCTGGCAAACGCGATAGAGGCAGCGAGCGACTCTTTGTTCGAGCCGCCGCAGCTGAGGAGAAGTGATTGTTATATTTCGTACTGTTAAATAAACGAATCTTCGAGACAAAGACGAAGGTTATTAACATGGATAAATCGTTTTGAAAGTGTAATCTCCGACATTCCGAGAATATTAAGTTTGAGTTATCGAGTCGGGTACTGGGAGTACTGACCAGAGAGGCTTGAAATTCCTTAAACAGGAAACAGGTGGAAGGGGAATGGTAAACTTGTCTTTTACAGATACCGGTCTCTGGCGACGTTGTCACGTAGGGGCAAAACAGACGTTCTGAAGGAAACTTTCGACGGTTAAAGCCAGGAAATTGTTAACCAAACGAACGCTTCGTCGTAAAATATCACCTAAATACCCACGTGTGGGTCCCATGTGTTTCTCAATATGATCATGAGATATTTCGAACTGGCAATCAATAAAATTAGTCACTGGGAAATAGACACTTCGTCTACCAGCTATATTTACACAAAGTGGGAAAAATAACTCTGATCGTGAAACATATTATCTGTTCCCTCCATTACTTGGGTGCCGCATTTTCTGAATTTAATTTATTTACAAGCTTATTTCGCAATTAAAATCAACTGAACACATTTCAAGGTTCAAACCGTCGAACGTTACGAAATGAAATCGAAACCGTTCCAGATGGTTTGCTGGAACAAACTTGACCACTGTTTTCTTATAACTATTTAAATACACAAAAATTATTTTAATGGGATTATCCATGGTCTGTCCAATTCGAGCGGATACGGCAACTCCGCTCAACGGCTATATTTAAATGAATGAAACTTGTCGTTTCGTTATTAACGTTCTTATTAATTGTGACAACAATGGCAGTTATGTTATCGAGTGCCAGTATGTTTTCCAAGTTAAAATTAGATTGCAGCTTTTAAATTGCATTTTTTACTCAATTTGCCAGCATTTGTGCTACGAGAATCTAATGAATTCTGCGTAAATACTTCTTCAAAGTAACAATTGAAAGAAAAATATTCGCTATGGATTTTATAGTGAAAATAGAGCACTCTGTAATTTGATTCGTGGTTTATTATTCAGTGCGGATAATAATAATTAATGATATCACCTGCACAAGCTTACCAGTCCAAAAAAAGTTAACCTTGCTTGTTCAAATTAACATACCGCCAATATCTTTGTTTTTTGGAGGTACTGACACTGAGTCTGAGTAGTCGAGACCTACTTTATATTCGGCAACTCATTAACGAGCTATTATGGTGTATAACTTTGACAACCAAAACAGTAACGCAAAAAGTAACCTAGATACCAGACAATGTTTTATAGGAGACAGGGATTATCGATTAAAATATTTTAATTGTACGGAATACTACTTGTACCTATCGGGTAGATTGGATTTTAACCCACGTAATATTAATTTCATAATTAATTATTCCGAAAATATTAATTTTAATAAAATAGCACCTGGTGTTGTTCTAGCAGGATTGCAGATTTAGGTAACCTCCTTTGAGCCTTTTCTAATGCAAAAATGTAAATTTCATGAATAAAGATCAGAAATAGACGCATTGTACACTATTTCAAGCATAGTAAAATCCTTAAATTCTCTAAATTTTGGTATAATACAATAAATTTTTATATACCTCAGATGAGCAAAGCTCCATATTCCGCAAAAGCTCAGAACAGTTGCCAAGATTTGTGCATTAAAATGTTACACCTTCGACAGTCGTTAATAAGTATTATAAATAGAAGAGGACCTGGAATTGAACCCTGGGGAGCGTTAAAAAGAAAGTGGTTGATTTAAAACCTAATTTCGAGCCCAATATTAAACAAATTCGCAGCAATCAGTGAGATGAGATTGAAACAGTTTAAGTTAGAACCAAATCTGTATAGTAACGATATAAGTCAGTATAGATAATATCTACTTGACTAGCAGCATGAAAGACTTCTTGCAAAATTGACTGCTGACATCATACTCTGACTCATTACTTGATGTTAATATTGGAAATATGTTATACATTTTTCAGTTTTGGAATTAATCTGGCGTCTGCTCAAGCTGAAATATGTTATTGCGTTCGTGCTTTCATTTGATACGTTTTCCTTTATTTAACCATGAGTGTAGCTAAGTGAAATTTGATACAATCAAACAATATAATGTAATATTTGTCCTCGATGAGTGCTATCGAATAAAGAAACCCTATATATGGATATTTGCGTATGTAAACGAATCTGTGTACGGGTTTACTGTAACTCTAGACCGAGGATGAAATTAAATCTATTTTTCATCTATGTAATTCTAGGTTTCACAATGAAATTTTGAAGATAATGGATTAGAAATAAAAAATTGCCCTGTGGTCTTTGTTAAAGCTAAGATGAGAGAAGATCCGTTCTGTTGTATCTAATTAAAACTATAATGTGAAATAATAATAGCAAGAAAATACAGTTAGAAAAGGAGAAGTTTAGATTTATATCTGGAGCTAAACGTGTTCCTAAGGTTTTACATTATGGAGTACTGCTCCAAGCTCTTGTTTCGTTCCCATGCACATAATGTATAATGTATTCTAATGTATGGGAGTAAAGGCCATGGATGTGCTTTGATTACACTTTGAAAATCCCTGTTATTTAAAATTGTGACGGTTCAATTAAACTTTCATTGTCAAAGTTTAGAGGAGTAAAAGAGCAATTTTCACAAAAGGAAAACCCAAATATAATTCAAATTAGTTAATCAATAAGATTGCCGCAATCTCGTTCTTCTTCATGTGAAAATTACATTTTCAGTGCTCTAAATTTTGATGTTACAATGAAAATATAATTGAACTGTAAAAATTTAGTAGTTTCGTGTTTGTTTCCAAAGCACTCGTTGTGAAAACAAATCAAATTTCAGGAAACACTGAGACTGGAGGAAAAATGCAAAATTGAACCACACCAATTTTGTCGTTAGTGCTACGTACAACAATAAATTGCCCTTAAATAAGTCCTGGCGAATTTTTCGCGATAATCTCAGCGTATATTAACTTTTTTTTTGTCAACGTAATTACCAAAATGAGTTTTGGATTACCCGCTAAAATTAAATAAAATTTATGGCGCGTGTAACTTAATGTAAAAAGTTCTACTTGTTAATCTGAAATATGTTCCGGAGTTCGACCGATACCTACACTGATTACAGTTTAATACAGTTTCCAGTCGTATTCTATTTTATATGCTCCTCTTTTCACGAATTCATTTAAAAAGTAAACGCGAATTCCGGATTTTATGAACAACAAAGTAACAAATTGAATGAAAATGATTGAGCAATGTACGAATATTTACAGGATTATTGATACATCTTGAAAATCTATGAAGATAATAAAATGCTGAAAACAGTGTTGTTTTAAATGATTTTTAACGAGAAATATTAAACACGAATCCCCAATTCGAAATTTTCGAGACACAGGATGTTGAAATTAAATGAGAAAACGATTTTCGGATATAAATGCGTGTACCAATGGCGTAAATATCAGAAGTTTCATTAAAAACTAGAAATTGACGCCCTGAATATTTAAAAAAATCAACTAGTACTTACTCTTTATGGTGTTTCCAAGAAAAAGTACCATTTTCCATTTTTGACCTTTTTATCATTCCTTAACTTTACCAAGCACTTCATTAAACCTATTAGAACTTTAGAAATGCTCGTTTTGCAAAAAAATTGTATGATTTATGTTATTTTATTAATATTGCTATTAAATACAATGTAATCATGAAAAGTCCAAAAAAAACCATTGAGTTGTAAACCCATGTTTACATGAATCACTGAAAGAGACGCCCCTTAAAATTTAATTAACACTGTATTTTCATTGGCTGTCACTCAAATGTAGGTAAAAAAATTAAATATACAGGATGATTCTCAAACGATGACCAAAAACGAAACCTCGTATTATTTGATGAATTTTAGGGACTCTTTCGTATAAAATTTTTAGGGCGCTTCGTTAAAAAGATACAGGGTGTTGAACTTAAAACAAATATTTTTAATTTTTTTTTAATAATTTAAAAACTAAAAAGTGAAATAATTTGAAATTGGACACACGTATTTATGTAAACATTGTCCAAAATCTGAGGACTTTTTCTAAAATTTAGATGTTCCAGTGTTGGAGATACAGGGTATCGCTGGCATATTTTTCCAAATAAAATAGTACGCCACTGCTTTACGGTAACAATTATGATATTTTTGGATTGGTCTTTCAATTTTCTACAAATTACTACTCTCTTATGTTTTTCGAAAAAAGCCTGATTTTCGAGTGAAACTTAAAAAACGAAGTGTAATATTAAATTCACCAAAGAAGCGAGGTTTCATTTTTGGTCACCATTTGTGAATCACCCTGTATATTAAAACAGCTTGGTGGCGCTCTGTTTTTTTTCCGAAAGACATCATTAGTTTGATGTCGCTGAAAACAACTTTTAGTTAGAAGACTTTTTTTCTATTTAACGTTTTTTGTAGTTTCAACTGTCTCCAGACATTATTAGTTGAAAATCACTTTACTGAAGTTCTCGGCTTTGGTATATGAGAAAAAAGGTAGAGTTAGAAAAGTGTTATTCCAACTTTTTTCTTCAATCTGAACGTGTAAGTTATTTTGCAGAATTAAACAAATTTATTTGACGACTTAACAAACGTCATTGTTATGCAAATTTCGAGCCATTCTGGAAAAATTTTTAAGAAATTGGCCTGCTACACAGCACACATTGTTTTTTGCGTCTTTAAATATAAAAAAAAAATAGTAAAGTGTCAACAAGATTTTATGTGTTTGTGAATAAAATTACATTTTATTCCCATTGTGGTGCATTGCATAACCTTTTGAACCTTTTTGATTTCCAAAGTAAATATACCTAACACATTTAGTGTTCTTTTTGTGAAAATAACCATATTAACATTTATATTTAAATAACAAAATACCTACTCGTTAGGC